GCCTGCATTTCGCGCACTCGACACGCACGATCTCCGCAGAGGGTTGCATTTTCGGTTGACGCTGTTCGTCCCACCCTCCGCCTTTAAGAGAGAATTTATAAAGTGGGGAAATGTTTTTCATTAGGACATCTCCCGTGCTAGTTTTTTCCATGCTGCTAGCATACTCATTGCATGCTTGCATGCTAGCATACTCATTGCATGCTTGCATGCTCATCATTAGACTTGCATACTTTGACACTTGCATACTTTGCACTTGGATGCTTTCGCTCTTCCAGTGTGTGTGTGTGTAAGTGTAAGTGTCGAAGTGTAAGTGTCGAAGTGTCAGTGTTCAAGGGATTTTCCGGAAGAACCCTTCGCAATGCTTTCGGGAAAAATGAACTGTGAGGATCTTTTACAGATCATCTTGAACGGAAAAACACACACACACAAACACTTGTATACTGGTTTCTCCTGGGCGAACTCGTCCGGCACCCAACGAATCGACCGGGCTTCGTCTAGGTCTACAGCTCCCTAATCATCCATGGGGCTGGACCAATCAATAAAGACATCTGAAAATCACCACCACTGATCGGCCAATCTTCCAGATCGGAGATTTTCGGGGCATCCCATCTGGGCCACCCGCACCCATCTCGCCCAGCTCCTTCAGCTGGGATGCGAAGCGCTTGGATGCGGCCGCCGCCTTCACCGCTCGCTGGAGCAGGCGGTTGCTTCGACCCCGCGTCGGTGACGGATTTCCAGAGAACGACGTCACCCAGTCGACCTTGAGCTTGATGCCGTCCGAAGTCCAGTTCACCACTGAAGGTCTTTCAGGAAATTTTAAAAAATATACTCAGCTATAGTATGCTATAGTCAGACAGTATGAGTATATTAAAGTCGTTGACTTCACTCTCCAGGGGTTGCATGAACTTGTGGTGTATGATCCTTGTTGGTGAAAAGGGTCTTTGGAACGACTATGAACGATGGATCCACCCGGGGCCACTTTCATGAGAAGAGTTCTCGCGGCGCACATCCCACACATGATTCGCTTGGCGGAACCCATGCATGCACGTGGTGGAACCCATGGTGGAACCCACTGTGGGTCACCCAGCGGATCTCAATGCTAAGCGAGGAACAGCAAACTAGAATCGGAGTTGACATTCGGATCCTTTCGATTTTGCATGGTTTTGCACCCCTTTTTTTGTAGGCAGCAGCAGCAGCAGCTGAAGTTCACGCATCACCGTCAACCAAATGATGTCCCAGGCCGCATGATTCGGTCATCGAAAGCAGCAACCTCCTCCAAAGTGATTCTCCGGTCGGTTTCAGCTCAACAAGTTTTGGTCAGTGAAGAAATCATCATCTCAAGTGAAGGTTGAACATACAAGAACATCAACATGATATCTGCCCTAAGTATATTGGGCTCTCCATGGCAGGGGTCGGCTCCATAGGTCCGGGTCCGGAAGCAAACCCTGTCTGTTTGAGGGCCCGGATTCTTAGGGTGAGATTTGAACACCCCCACCCAGGATTCTTGGACCCAAGGCCGGACCCACCGAGCAAAGACCACTCCCAGCTCTCCCACCAAACTCGATCTCTCTCCCAGGCCCTGTCCTTAGGCGGTGCCATGCCCAAGGCCACCAAACGTTCAAAAACGGGTACCAAGTCCTGCCAAAAAAAGAACCAAAAAAGAACAACGCTCTCAAATCCATTGTGGAGACGCGTCCTGTTCATTTTTCTTCATCTGTTTCTTTGTTCTGGAGGGGGGGGAATCCTGTCGTGTTTCAAACAAAATCCACCAGCTTCGTTCACATGGAGTGTGCCCACGGTCCGCGCCACGAACTTCCGGTAGGTCCGGCCTGGAGCGTGTTGCGAGCAGCGAAGCGATCGTGAGATGGAGCTGAAGATGGAGATGGAACGAAAAGAACTGGCATCCTCTGGTATCAAAATCAACCCCATAGATATCCATAGCCCCAATCTTGTGATCACCTTTTAAAGGAGCACAACAAATTCTTGAATGATGGGGTGGTAAAGAGTGTATGCAACGAAGTGACAGCCCAAAACAGGTTGGAGAAGAAGTGACAAATATGCACAAAACGCGACTCGTGCTACACGGTTGACATGCGGACGAATCTCGTTGACCACCGAGAGAACTCATCCATCGATCGCTGCGGAACCAGCGATGGACCACAGCAATGGACCAAGGCGGGCCAAGCTCCTCTGATGCCTCGAAGGATTGGGTTTTACCACTCTCAGAAGCCTGTGTCGAGGGGCGGCAAAACTGATGGAGCCATCCATACGAAGACACATATACATAGCAAACGGGGTTGTACAGCTAGACAAAATATCCGAGAATTCCATGACATATCTTTTTCTTTGGCGGGGAGCACACTCTTCGGACATTTGTTCTTTAGAATCGGTCTCAAATGCTCTTTGTTCATCTAGTAGGTGAAGCCAAGCACGATCTTCGCCGTTCTGTGTCTCCCCCAGACTGTCTGGGCGACCCGGCTCGGCGGAGGCATCTGGCAGCTCTTCTCCATCTAAACGTCGGTCCAGCTGGGCGTGAGCCTTCTCCTGTTCTCAGCGGATGGGCTCTGGGCCATGGCACCGGAGGACCATGGACCACGAATGACCAAAGACTACTTGCCCAAACGCTCCGGGAAAACAGGCCGACCGGTCCCTCAAATCCGGATTGGAGTGTGACCCCTCCAGTCCGGATTCGGGTCCGACCCCTAAACGGAGGGTCCAGGATCGCATCTGGGAGGTGCCAAAGGCCCGGTTTCGCTCACACAGCTGTGCTGTGCGTGACAATGCATGACCAACTGGCGTTGGCCCAAACAAAAAAGAGTTGTTTGAGTGCATTGAGGGTTATCTAATGTTATATATACTATCTTCTATCAACCGATTATTTGTCTATCCATGTCTATCAAGCTCCCCAACTACATTAACACACCTTTTCCATCCAAAGCGTCAAACATATACGAGATTTTCACTAAGTGTGAAACGGGTTCTTTGCTGGAGTCTCTTTACTAATTGGGTGCACTTATATACGCTTGACTGAAACTACGAAGCTGGATACAAATGTGAATGAACCCGGATCATGATGATCATAGTTTCTACTTCCCTCATGCACCACCTTCTTTGTGTCATATGTCGGGGCCACGATGGGATCCCCTCCCGGCCCACGTACATCTTCACCTTTGGAAGTGATGAAAGCAACTGGGTCGGTGGCTCCAGTCACATTTCCCCGAAAGAATCCACGCATTTTGGAGACATATCCTCATATCCTCCATGATCTCCCCTGGTGCTACGGTCGTGGATGGTCGTTCGGCATGCCGGCCAGTTCATCTACCTGGTGGTTTTCAGGGTCGTTCGCTACTTACATGATCTACTTGGTGGACTGGTGGACGCTCCAGGTCGCTCGGGCGTGGCCCAAAACGGCGTCACGTGGCCCAACGGCGCTCGAGTTCCCGGCCTCCGCTTCGGCCCAAACGCCTCGACCTGGTCGGCACGGGGTCGGTAGAAAGCGGTGAGCGCGGGCAGCGCGGAACGAGACAGGTGCTGGCACTATGATGCATTACTCTTATGTGCATTACTATATCTATAGTTATTAGGTGCTGCTAGCTATTGGGCTTCAAGCAAACACCGTATATTTAAAGTACATTAGTCATAGTTTTGCATGATCAATTTTGTAGATATTCCATACCTGGTCTGGGAATAGAACTCAGAGGAAAGTCCAAGAAACGCTTTGCCGACAGAACTCCTAGCATGTTTTCATCCGAGACTGTGCAGCGGGATCTCTCGGGAAGTTTCTGAATGCCAAGCACGTGACCTGTACACATCAGAGCTTGGGATTACGAAGCCTGGAAAACTGATGGCCCAGGCCCGAAATGAAGACTCCGCCACCGCCCACCTTCGTGGTGCGAAATCTTCGAATTCGCAGCAAGGAAGTCTTCCAGCAAATGGACATGGAAAGGATCAAAATCACCAGCCAATCCATCCCGATTCCAAGCCATTACAAAGCTTTGAGATGGATTTGAATGGATTTCAGAAGAGGATGTCTGACCTTTTGTTGATCCGCTGCCCGACATGCCTCTTTAAAGGCACGCGGTTCTCAACATCCATGTTCTAAAAATCGATGTGGCGAGGAACATCATTTCACCAGGCGCTGAAGTTGTTGCATCAAGCTGCTGCCTCACCCACGACACCGCGCGCGACACGCGACGCGCGTCGACACGCGACACGCGTCGACGCGTCGACGGTGAGCCCTTGGGACCTGTGGTTCAACTCCTTGGACCCTGGAGAAGGAGAAGGACCGACCTGTCTACCCAGCCAGGGGCGGCCACTGGATCTCCCATGGATCCCTAATAAAAACATACACACACCCTTAGTGTGGTTGACAGCGCTGTCAGACTGCATGTTGGGCCGCCCAAAGGAAGACATGCGAAAGCCATCCTTCTCGTCCTCTTGGCCTGTCGTTTTCCCGAGTTGATTGGGAGTTGCAGCTCACATGCAAACGCAAGACCATACATGTGAGGTCACTACACCTGTCAGTCTACAAGATGGTACACCTACACAGCGACCCGCCGAACCCGCGGGTCGGACCCGAATCCGGACTGGAGGGGTGGAGGGACCCGGTTCCCAAACCCTATGGTCTTGAGGGACCCAAAAGGCTGTGAACGGAGCAGTCTGGGCAAAATGTCATGTGGAATGCAAGACGGAGAGTACCCGTATAAGTCCACGAAGTTCGAACGAGCCCGACCCCGGTTTTGGTGGTGGTCTAATACTGAGCTTCAAGGCACCAAAGGCACCGGCGCTTTGGCGGCATGTGGGTCGACATTCATGTTGATCCTCAAAGCGATGCTTCAGACATACCTTCAGGCCACAGCTACCGCACTGGCAGGAATTCCTCGGCGAGGCGACGATAGAGGTTAGGCTCTGTTGGGGACAACGCCCGACACGGCGGGCGGCGTTAAGGTGGCACATGATAGACTAAAAGAGATAGACCGGTCAGAAAACGTATCACTGGAGATCACGGGACCTGTCCCTCATCTCTACCACACAGTGAGATACACCAAGTGTGAACATCTTCAGACCATCTGCTCCGTGGCTTAGAAGGGAAAGACTGCGAGCAACGCAGCAACACCAGTATATATTAGCCGAAGAAGCCACTTCGAAATGATCCCCACCACACCGTAAGGAACCATGAAACACACCAAACATTGCTGTGGGAAATCATGTTTTTTTAAATATCGCCAATACCACCAAACAACTCTGGGACTGGAAGATTCATTTCTTAATTAATTAGTGATTATTTTTTTCTGGGGTCAATGTATGCATTCAGAGCACCCCCCCCAGAGTAAAGTTGCACTCCTTCCATACTGAGCATATCTCAGCACTACTCTCAGCACTGCTTACAGCTCAAGCCTGTGCGCATACACTTGTTCAACTGCCACTCGTTCAACTTCCTAGACCTGAAATGCGCTTCTTTCTATTGGTTGTGCATGGATTCATCTCAACGCCCACCCCTGGAATTTCATTCCCCAAAATGTCTGGTCTTGATTGCACATCGTGTGTGTCTTCATAAAACTTTGATTCTTCTCCTCACCCAACAACTGCCGACGGCATCTCTGGGGACTCATGGTGAGAAGCTCTCAGTCTCGACTTGGAGGCTCCAGGATTCCGCCCTGTCGACAGCTAGCGACTCTGCGCCCACTCCTTTGCCAAATCAACACAAGAGTCACAAGTTCGATGATTTGGCTGTGGGACACCCTGGTTTTTCCCACCAAGAATGAACAGAAGGTCAACTACCTGGGAGGTCAACTGAGGTCAACCTACCAGGCTGAGTGAAACGGGCTCCAGCTGCCCTCACCGCCATGTTTGGAGACGGAGGTTGAGACGGAGGACGGATCTTCCAACGACGCGCATGTCTGCCGAACTTCATCTATTCAAAAGTTTTCGGCTGGTTTTGGTTCGCACCGTCCTTGGAAGATCCAGCCATCACACGTCAGACTCGTTCGATACGTCAAGATATCCAAGATTCGAGAAGGTGAGTTTCTCTCGACAGCCCTTCACAGGACACCGTGGCTTCGTCTTCACACTCGGAGCACATGCGCCACTCGCCACATGGCGGTCGAAGACGTGCACGGAGGACTGCTCATCCTTTGCGTCGCAGGGGAGGGCCATGTCACAGAGCGGGCACACGATCACACGCCGGTCCTGGCAGGAAAAGGGTTTCCAAAAAAAGGCCGGACATGAGGATGTTCAGATCAGCGAACATTCACTCAATCCGAGTCGTTGTTTGACTATTTGGTTGCACATCAAGTAAGTTTTGATGCCACCATGCACATAATGGAAGTCCCCAAAAGGCAGTTGTCATTGCAGCCCATGTCATTCAGTAAATCCTACCCGTGAGGATCGCAAAGGGCGAGAGTTGCCAAAGGCAAGGAACAAGGGGTATTTCAGAGAAGCGACCAGTTCGGCAGGCACTGGCATGGTGTGAACCAGTCGCTTCGATTCAAACAAAACACGATTGGGTTGGCCTGAAAACGGCGGTTTTTTGTTATTTTAGTTTAAATTGTTCTATTGCTACCCTGGAAGTCCAAAGACTATATTTTGACCGGCTGAAGTAAAGGAAGTGCCCTTTCAGGTCCCCTAAAGACCATTCTTTTTATTGTATAGTCTTTGACTCCCAGGGTATTACTATGTGTCTTCTGGTTGT